AAAAAAAAATTAAGCTTTGTTTCACATCTACATGCACAGTTAATTAATTTGACTTCTTATTACTTTCGAATAGATGGAATTCCTGACCAAATCAAAAATCTTTCGTTTCGGTGCGGATCTGATGACCTGGACAAAATATCCCTTCGCGTTTTATATATATAGATAGATATTTTAGCGCGTACACTTTTGTTAAGTGTTCGGACAGAGCTTCATCTCCAATTTGTGATGTGCGTATAAAATGTAGGCAGAATTGGACGTTTCAGTGAAAATACATATCGTGCACATAACTTAGTATTCAGGTATTGTAAATGTTTTCGTTTTGTCATTTTTAAAAAGAAAAAATAGGAACTTAGTTAGAAATAAATAAATGTGTTAATTTTCTTCAAAATTCATAAAATTTAGTACTTGGAGCTGGGTGTCATAATAAGGAACTCTTCATTATCCTCCAAGTTTGAAAATTTTAGCTTAAAGGAGAAGGACGCACCGAATTTTAAATTTTTTTTTTTATTGTCCTTATTTTTCTAGAATTAGTGGACGATAATGTAAACCGATTTTAACGTTCTTTCAAATTTCTGCTTTTCTCGTTAAAACCAGCATATGCTCTGAATTTCATCAAAATCGGATAACATTTACTATTTCCGTCCACAAGAGCAGTGGGCGGGGTAGCGCGTTGCATTTTACCATTTTCCACATTTCTTCATTCCTAAGTGCCGAATATATGCGCATATTTATACGAAATTTTTGGGGTGTCCCACTGTGTGCTGTTACAAAACACTTTTTCCAGTTTAGATGTTGCTCGCACAAGGCATCGAACAGGGCACGTATGGAGTGTTGTGCGCAGCTCTACACCACAGCGGCCGTCTGTATGTATGTATGTACATTTTTTCCAGATTTAAACAACATTCTGAGACAACAAAAGAAAAACTTAAACATGTTAACCATTTTTGCAGAAAATATAAAATTTCGATACACTTCATTGATGAATTGTAAAAAATAAGATATAACAAGTAAGAAAGTCTAAGTTCGGGCGGAGCCAAACATTAAATACCCGGCGCAAGTATTAAATATATGATTTTTACCTTCCCGAAAGCTGCCGCTACATGGTAAGCCGGGGTGTATCAATTTTGAGTAAATTAGTGTGCTTAAATTTGGAAAATATTGAAGTTTCGGGCATTTCGGAAATTTACCGTTATATGAAAAGCGGCCTCAATTTTAGTCCGATTTCAATAGTTTTCAACGTTTTGCTTTTATGTGGCAAGCACAATACCCATACCGAGTTTGGTACAAATTGGTAGAAGGGTTACTGAGATATATATATGTGATCATAAGTGGGCGGTGCCACGCCCATTTTCCAAAATTTTATCCCAAGCATATTTATTTGTAAAGAATTGTTGCAAGCATCAATTTTGAATAAATTAGCTTTAATATTTACTGATTTATTGAAGATTTCGTATTTCTCCAAATTACCGTTATATGGGATGTGGGCGTGGTTATTGTCCGATTTTAAAAAATTTCGGCCATTTCGTATGCTGTAGCAAGGCTAACAACTGTGCCAAGTTTGGAAGAAATTGGTGTAGCGGTTACCAAGATATATACATTTAACCATAAGTGGGCGAGGCTACACCCATTTTCCAAAAATTTATAATATTGTTATTTTTTGTCTAAAATTTATTGAAAATATCAATTTTGAGTGAATAATTTTCAGTAGTTACAAAAATATCGCAGCTTTCGTATATCTGAAAATTACCGTTATATGGGAGGTAGGCGTGGTTATTGTCCGATTTTGCCAATTTTCAATACCATCCGTTCTACGCCCGAAAGAAGTGCACGTACAAAGTTTCGTTAAGATATCTCAATTTTTACTCGAGTTATCGTGTGCACAGACGGACGGACGGACGGACGGACAGACAGTCACCGCTTAATCGATTTCTCTTTTTATTCTGGTAATTTATATATACATTTGTCTATATCTATCTCGATTCGTTTTGCCTGTTACAAACAACCGTTATGTGAACAAAGTTACAATACCCTTGTGCACAAGTGCGCTCGGCTATAAAAACATCCTGCTTGGATTTTAGATGTAGTTTTAACAGTGTTTTAAGCAACATCCAATCTGCCTTATCCTGAGTTTCGCCCGAAAAAAATTCAACCGAAATTTGTCTCTCCCCCATTGTAAAACCATGGAAACCAAAAGTGAGAAGTGAACCGGTTCGGGGGGGAAAATGAAACTCATCACAAGGCTGAATATTTCTTCTACAAAGAATGATCATTTAAGGCCTGCTCAAATAAGTTAGAACTACATTTGGAGTATCGAATTAAACGCTCAAGAAAAATAATGAAACTGAATTTCATCTCACTATACTCGTTGTAAACTTATCAACTTACAAAATCTTGATACTAGAAGAGTTGTCGACTTACTTATATGTATTTGTCTTTGACCTCGGTGTTGATGTTTATATTGTCCAGTGTCCTTTAATTTGTCTGATAGATCTCTACGCTCACCTTTGCCATTTTACTTGTGTCCTACTAAGGCTAACTATTACCATTTTGACCCGATTTACCGCGCACTAACTGAATTTGAAGAGACTTCAAAGCGTCCATATTTGGGCAATTCATCTAAACGCGTAAATGGCTCGTAACCACGTAGACCTCACCAAATTAAATAATTTTGTATGGAAAACCCGTTTATTTACGAGTTTTAAGCGTTTTATGCGTTTACGAGGCAATTACTCGTTTAGATGAATACCCATAATTATTATCGTTACGTTATCGAGAAATAAACTCAAGTCGCCGATTTTCTTGTTTCTTATACCGAATTTCCACTAGGCATTGAAATGACAGAAAATTTAAGCCATTTAAAAAAATGTCATGTGGAAATGAACTTTATGGGCCGTATGAATAAAAATAAGCAATTGCTTTTTCTTAAAATTTCAGATCTTTTACTCAATTTATTCAAACAAAATTGAAGTAAAAGGTATGAAATTTTAAGAAAAAGCAATTGCTTAGTTTTTATTCATACGGCTCAATGACTATTTTTTTAATGTAATGACACGATAACTTTTTAATGCGCGACTGTGTCATTTGTCCTTTTTGCCATTTAATGCCTAGTGGAAATCCAGCATTATAATATTAATAAGTTTTTGGTTTTACTAACATTTATGTAATCTAGTCTCTAAGATTGTAATTATAGGCTGAATAAACTAAATTGAATTGAAAACAAAATGTCATTTAAAAGTTCCATTTCATGAAGTATTTTTTAGTTTAGTCACGTATAATTTAAAGTCTTTATATTATTTTATTTTGAATTAAACTTTTTTTACTATTTATTTTAATAAAATTCCTTTTCTTTCTTCTTATTTAGCGCTGCAACCCACTATTAGAGCTGGAGCGCCGGTGTTCATCCGGGTTCCGTGAATTATGGCCGCGTATATTAAGACCGCGATCCAAAAATGAAATTATACCGCGCGGGCATAATTCATTTTGACTAGGGAAATTAGGCCGCGATCAAAAAAGGAAAACAGGCCTCGCGGGCATAATTCATTTTGACTAGTGAAATTACGCCGCGATCAAAAAATTAAATATGAACTACATAACCGATTAAGAAAGTAATAATGTGAAAATAAAGATAACGAATCGATCTTTCAGTTGATGTACAAAATTGATATGCCTTTTTTATATTTTTATGCAAAAACAAAAACCTTTTTTGAAAGAAATGCATAATTAACGATAAGGAAATTTATATCATTTAGAAAGTATAAGTTATTACCTTTAATTTGACATACATATATTCTAACCCTCACTAAGTAGAATTCTCCTTTCTGTGTTGCCGAAGAAGAGGGGCTGAACGCCTCTTGCAGATAACAGCTTTCTTTATTACAACGCTTTTATTGTGGTTTGATTTGTCGACCAAATGAAAAATAAAATTTATTGGTGATTTGATGCGGATAATTTAATTCTGCCAATCAAAAACGATCAAAAAATTAAATTAGGCCGCACGGGCGTCATTCATTTTGCCAAGTGAAGTTAGGCCGCGATCAAAAATGAAATTAGGCCACGCGGAAATAATTCATTTTGTCAAATGAAGTCAGACCGCGATCAAAAAATGAAATTAGGCCGCCAAACATATAAGAAATGAGGGATTACACATGCGGGATCCGCGGGATTTGTTGGATTACAGGTGCTCGCCAAAATGTTCGTCGTGCATGGCTGCAAGAGTTAAAAGCCCGTCCGAAAGACCTTCTAGAGAGTCAAGAGGCCTTCCACTCTACATTCCTTTCTCGTTTCTTTTTTGTATGGATGTCATCAGTATGGAAGTCCACAGAAGGGCTTTGCAAAAGTTCATTAAGTTACGCAAAGTGTTTTGAGGTTAGAAGCAAATCTAGACGTAATGGAGCAAAACGGACTTAGATACGCGTACAGCGACCCAGAAACATATCAAACACCAGATCTGGTTTTATTAAACTTTCATCGATTTTTTTTGTGGTCCTGCGTAATTGATTAAATTTGAAAACGCCCGCCTTGATAACTAGCTTAAACTTTGGTCACTTACCGATTTATGAACACGTTATGCGAATGTAGAACAGTCCGTTTCTATCGATGAATAAGTGTTACAGCGGAAAAATTGATTTTTTTCTAGAGCTTCCTCTGGTTCTATTATATAGGATATATTACTTTAACGCCATTTTTAAATATCAAATGGTAAAAAGTTACGCGGAAAAACAGGAAAGCTTAGTTAAATTTGAATAATCCAGAATCACTGATGTTTTGATAGTTTTGGGATTACAGCGAGCGGGTATTGTTTCAGATCGGATAAAAACTACAGTAACTCTTATGATAAATTTT